TACGCTCTAATGTCCCCTCCCCCACAGTCCCATCAGTCTCTGTACCAGAGGAGCTTACACTCTAATGTCCCCTCCCCCACAGTCACACACTATTAATAATCTGTACAATGTGTCAAATGGGGGGTGGGTGCCCCCCCCCCCCCCATACAGGACCCCTCTAGTGGGAACAGGCCCAGGGACCCCGGCGCTGCATTGTGCCCCCCCCCCCCCCCGCAGAACACGGGACCCCCCGCTGTCAGAGTTATGCTGTATTGTTCCAGTTGTATTTTTAGCCGCACATTAGCCGGGGGGGGGGGGGGGGTTCCTCCTTCTCCGCGTTGCTCAGATTTCCATGATTTTGTGTTTTATAAAGCCCGGGCCATGCTGGGACTTGTAGTACCTCCACAGCCAGCTGCATATGGTCTGCCTTCACATGTCACATGACTGCTGATTGTAATCATTGGACACCGTGATGAACTGCTGGGACTTGTAGTTCTACACACGGCTCCACATTGGCTGCCTACATGAGAACCTCACCAGATGCTGGGACTTGTAGTTCCTCCCAGTGATGTGGTCATTTGTTATCCTGTATCCCATTATATCTCATCGGGAGGAGAACTGTCTGTAGAAGCTCTGCTGGGACTTGTAGTTCTACAAATGACTCCACATTGACTGTTCCTTGCCTGCATTAGAACCTCATCATCTGCTGGGGGATGCTGCTGGACTTGTAGTTCCTCCCGGTGATGTGGTCATTTTGTTATCCTGTATCCCATTATATCTCATCGGGAGGAGAACTGTCTGTAGAAGCTCTGCTGGGACTTGTAGTTCTACAAATGACTCCACATTGACTGTGCCTTGCCTGGATTAGAAAGGAGAGAACTCAGCCGCTGGGACTTGTAGTTCCTCCCCGGTGATGTGGTCATAATTTGATATCCTGTACTGTTATTGTGTCCTCTATCAGGAGGGGAACTGTCTGTAGAAGCTCTGCTGGGATTTGTAGTTCCAATGATGTAATAATCTGCTATCCTGTGTCTGGTTGTCACAATGTATAGAACTGTCTGTAGCCAATGAGAACCTCATCAGCTGCTGGGAGATGCTGGGACTTGTAGTTCCTCCCGGATGATGTAATAATGTTTCTCCTGTATCATGTCATCTATCAGGAGGAGAACTGTCTGCAGCCAGTGAGAAGTTCCTCTGGGACTTGTAGTTCTGTCCGTAGCCAATGGTGATGTCTGTCATTTGTTATTTGTGTCTGATTGTCACAATATACAGTATATACTTAATCGGGAGGAGAACTGTCTAGGCAATGGGAAGCTCTGCTGGGACTTGTAGTTCCTCCCAGTAATGAGGTAATTTGTTATCCTGTATCCCATTATCACATTATGTCTCATCTCGGAGGAGAACGGCCTATAAAAGCTCTGCTGGGACTTGTAGTTCCTCCCAGTGATGTAGTAATTTGATATCCTGTACCTGATTGTCACATTATGTATCCTCTATCGGGAGGAGAACTGTCTATAGAAGCTCTGCTGGGACTTGTAGTTCTACAAATGACTCCACATGGACTGTTCCTTGTCTGCATGAGAACCTCATCAGCCGCTGGGAGATGCTGGGACTTGTAGTTCTGACCTCACTAATGTAGTAATTTGATATCCTGTATCATGTCATCTATAAGGAGGAGAACTGTCTGTAGCCAATGAGAAGCTCTGCTGGGAGTTGTAGTTCCTCCCAGTCATGTGGTCGTTTGTTATTTTGTGTCTAATTGTAGCAATATACAGTATACACTTAATCGGGAGGAGAACTGTCTGTAGCCAATGGGAAGCTCTGCTGGGACTTGTAGTTCTGCACGCGGCTCCACATAGGCTGTCTGCATGAGGACCTCATCAGCTGCTGGGGGATGCTGGGACTTGTAGTTCCTCCCGGTGATGTAGTAATTTGTTCTCCTGTATCATTTCCTCCTATTATATATATCATTTGTTCTTCATCTCTCTGGGGTCACCTGTCTGCAGCCAATGAGAAGCTCTGCTGGGACTTGTAGTTCCTCCCAGTAATGTGGTCATTTGTTATCCTGTATCCCATTATATCTCATTGGGAGGAGAACTGTCTGTAGAAACTCTGCTGGGACTTGTAGTTCTACAAATGACTCCACATGGACTGTTCCTTGTCTGCATGAGAACCTCATCAGCCGCTGGGGGATGCTGGGACTTGTAGTTCCTCCCAGTAATGCAGTAATTTGTTATCCTGTATCTGGCAGTAATTTGTTATCCTGTATCATGTCATCTATAAGGAGGAGAACTGTCTGTAGCCAATGAGAAGCTCTGCTGGGACTTGTAGTTCCTCACATTATATGTCCTCCATCTGGAGGTGAACGCTCTATAGAAGCTCTGCTGGGACTTGTAGTTCTTATCTCAGTAATGTAGTAATTTGTTATCCTGTATCATGTCATCTATAAGGAGGAGAACTGTCTGTAGCCAATGAGAAGCTCTGCTGGGACTTGTAGTTCCTCCCAGTAGTGTAGTAATTTGATATCCTGTACCTGATTATCACAACATGTGTCCTATATCAGGAGGAGAACTGTCTGTAGAAGCTCTGCTGGGACTTGTAGTTCTACAAATGACTCCACATTGACTGTTCCTTGCCTACATTAGAACCTCATCAGCTGCTGGGACTTGCAGTTCCTCCCAGTGATGTAGTAATTTGTTCTCCTGTATCATTTCCTCCTATTATAGATATCATTTGTTCTTCATCTGTCTGGGGTCACCTGTCTGTAGCCAATGGGAAGCTCTGCTGGGACTTGTAGTTCCTCCCGGTAATGAGGTAATTTGTTATCCTGTATCCCCTTATATCTCATCGGGAGGAGAACTGTCTGTAGAAGCTCTGCTGGGACTTGTAGTTCCTCCCAGTGATGTAGTAATTTGATATCCTGTACCTGATTGTCACATTATATATCATCTGAATTAGATTGGTCTATAGAAGCTCTGCTGGGACTTGTAGTTCCGCAAATGACTCCACATTGACTGTTCCTTGTCTGCATTAAACCTCATCAGCCACTGGGACTTGTAGTTCCTCCCAGTGATTATATGTCCTCCATCGGAAGGAGAACAATCTATAGAAGCTCTGCTGGGACTTGTAGTTCCTCCTGGTGATTATTTGTCCTCCATCGGGAGGAGAACTGTCTATAGAAGCTCTGCTGGGAGTTGTAGTTCCTCCCAGTCATGTGGTCATTTGTTATTTTGTGTCTAATTGTAGCAATATACAGTATACACTTAATCGGGAGGAGAACTGTCTGTAGCCAATGAGAAGCTCTGCTGGGACTTGTAGTTCTGCACACGGCTCCATATAGGCTGTCTGCATGAGAACCTCATCAGCTGCTGGGAGATGCTGGGACTTGTAGTTCCTCCCAGTGATGTAGTAATTTGTTCTCCTGTATAATTTCCTCCTATTATATATATCATTTGTGCTTCATCTGTCTGGGGTCACCTGTCTGTAGCCAATGAGAAGCTCTGCTGGGACTTGTAGTTCCTCCCAGTAATGAGGTCATTTGTTATCCTGTATCCCATTATCACATTATATCTCATCGGGAGGAGAACTGTCTATAGAAGCTCTGCTGGGACTTGTAGTTCTACAAATGACTCCACATTGACTGTGCCTTGCCTGCATTAGAACCTCATCAGCTGCTGGGACTTGCAGTTCCTCCCAGTGATGTAGTAATTTGTTCTCCTGTATCATTTCCTCCTATTATAGATATCATTTGTTCTTCATCTCTCTGGGGTCACCTGTCTGTAGCCAATGGGAAGCTCTGCTGGGACTTGTAGTTCCTCCCGGTAATGAGGTAGTAATTTGTTATCCTGTATCCCCTTATATCGCATCGGGAGGAGAACGGTCTATAGAAGCTCTGCTGGGACTTGTAGTTCCTCCCGGTGATTATATGTCCTCCATCGGGAGGAGAACTGTCTGTAGAAGCTCTGCTGGGACTTGTAGTTCCTCACAGTATTTTAGTAATTTGATATCCTGTACCTGATTGTCACATTCTATATCTTCTGAATTAGAATGGTCTATAGAAGCTCTGCTGGGACTTGTAGTTCTACAAGTGACTCCACATTGACTGTTCCTTGTCTGCATGAGAAACTCATCAGCTGCTGGGAGATGCTGGGACTTGTAGTTCTGCACACGGCTCCATATAGGCTGTCTGCATTAGAACCTCCTCAGCCGCTGGGAGATGCTGGGACTTGTAGTTCTTATCTCAGTGATGTAGTAATTTGTTATCCTGTATCATTTCCTCCTATTATATATATCATTTGTGCTTCATCTCTCTGGGGTCACCTGTCTGCAGCCAAGGGAAGCTCTGCTGGGACTTGTAGTTCTGCACACGGCTCCATATAGGCTGTCTGCATTAGAACCTCATCAGCCGCTGGGAGATGCTGGGACTTGTAGTTCTGCACACGGCTCCATATAGGCTGTCTGCATTAGAACCTCCTCAGCCGCTGGGAGATGCTGGGACTTGTAGTTCGGTTTGCCCAGCCTGAGCCATCCATAGACATTGGAGGACAGCCGGACCGTCCTGCAGATCCGATCGTCTCGCTGTGTCTTCGGGGGTCACCCACCCCCTCCCCCATCCGTAATTCGCCCAAATGATGTACTTGAAGGGTCTCTCTGATCTGATACAAATTGGATGGATGGTGTCGGTTTGTGTACAATCGGATTGTAGTGAGCAATCTCCTGCAGATCCGCCATCCGCGGTGTAGTATGTGGGTCGGTCTCATGCGATATAAATCGAATGGATTCTGTAGATCGGCCCTTTTAGAGGAATAGGTTTCGGGGAACTCTAAATTCTATTTCTTCTATCGACTCTGAAGCCAGCCACACACCTTACAATTTGATTGTGCGATCCAGATACAAGCTCTTGTATGGGAACTAGGTTCTAGAAAACGTTCTGCTCCGACTATTCGATCAGGAAGGCTCTGGTACTACATAACGGTTAGATCTAAAGGAGGATCGTACAATCAGATTGTACAGCGTATGGCCGGCTCTGAAGAGATTTGTATATAAATTCTACCGTCGAATTGTATGGTGTGTGGCCGGTTGTAGTCGGAGATTGATGCCTGGTCCAGGGAGGATCTGATATCTCTAGGCGCCGTTAAGACTAATCCGTTCTCTCCCGGTAGTGATTGGATGGAACGGTTTTCATGTAGTGTGGAGGCTGTCCGAGGATGTCTTATCACTGGCTGTGCTGAGACTTGTAGTTCATCATCGGTGGGATCGATGGGTGTATCGTGTCTGCAGTCTCTGGTCATCTCCTGTACTATGTCCGCAGTCTCTGGTCATCTCCTGTACTGTGTCTGCAGTCTCTGGTCATCTCCTGTACTGTGTCCGCAGTCTCTGGTCATCTCCTGTACTGTGTCTGCAGTCTCTGGTCATCTCCTGTACTGTGTCTGCAGTCTCTGGTCATCTCCTGTACTGTGTCTGCAGTCTCTGGTCATCTCCTGTACTGTGTCCGCAGTCTCTGGTCATCTCCTGTACTGTGTCCGCAGTCTCTGGTCATCCCCTGTACTGTGTCCGCAGTCTCTGGTCATCTCCTGTACTATGTCCGCAGTCTCTGGTCATCTCCTGTACTGTGTCTGCAGTCTCTGGTCATCTCCTGTACTGTGTCTGCAGTCTCTGGTCATCTCCTGTACTGTGTCCGCAGTCTCTGGTCATCTCCTGTACTGTGTCCGCAGTCTCTGGTCATCCCCTGTACTGTGTCCGCAGTCTCTGGTCATCTCCTGTACTATGTCCGCAGTCTCTGGTCATCTCCTGTACTATGTCCGCAGTCTCTGGTCATCCCCTGTACTGTGTCCGCAGTCTCTGGTCATCCTCTGTACTGTGTCCGCAGTCTCTGGTCATCCCCTGTACTGTGTCTGCAGTCTCTGGTCATCTCCTGTACTATGTCCGCAGTCTCTGGTCATCCTCTGTACTATGTCCGCAGTCTCCGGTCATCTCCTGTACTGTGTCCGCAGTCTCCGGTCATCTCCTGTACTGTGTCCGCAGTCTCTGGTCATCTCCTGTACTATGTCCGCAGTCTCTGGTCATCTCCTGTACTATGTCCGCAGTCTCTGGTCATCTCCTGTACTGTGTCCGCAGTCTCTGGTCATCTCCTGTACTATGTCCGCAGTCTCTGGTCATCTCCTGTACTATGTCCGCAGTCTCTGGTCATCTCCTGTACTATGTCTGCAGTCTCTGGTCATCTCCTGTACTGTGTCCGCAGTCTCTGGTCATCTCCTGTACTGTGTCCGCAGTCTCTGGTCATCTCCTGTACTGTGTCCGCAGTCTCTGGTCATCTCCTGTACTGTGTCCGCAGTCTCTGGTCATCTCCTGTACTGTGTCCGCAGTCTCTGGTCATCCCCTGTACTGTGTCCGCAGTCTCTGGTCATCCCCTGTACTGTGTCCGCAGTCTCTGGTCATCTCCTGTACTGTGTCCGCAGTCTCTGGTCATCCCCTGTACTGTGTCCGCAGTCTCTGGTCATCCCCTGTACTGTGTCCGCAGTCTCTGGTCATCTCCTGTACTGTGTCCGCAGTCTCTGGTCATCTCCTGTACTGTGTCCGCAGTCTCTGGTCATCTCCTGTACTGTGTCTGCAGTCTCTGGTCATCCCCTGTACTGTGTCCGCAGTCTCTGGTCATCTCCTGTACTGTGTCCGCAGTCTCTGGTCATCTCCTGTACTGTGTCCGCAGTCTCTGGTCATCTCCTGTACTGTGTCCGCAGTCTCTGGTCATCTCCTGTACTGTGTCCGCAGTCTCTGGTCATCTCCTGTACTGTGTCCGCAGTCTCTGGTCATCTCCTGTACTGTGTCCGCAGTCTCTGGTCATCTCCTGTACTGTGTCCGCAGTCTCTGGTCATCTCCTGTACTGTGTCTGCAGTCTCTGGTCATCTCCTGTACTATGTCTGCAGTCTCTGGTCATCTCCTGTACTGTGTCCGCAGTCTCTGACCGTCTCTTTTATAGCGCGTTTTTGGTGCGTTCGCAGTGTGTTTTGCCTTGCGACAAAACTTGCAGCAAACACACTCCGGCTACACACACTTGGGGCGCCATTAACCTTTAACTGGTGATGTGCAGTGTCAGCGCGTTTTTCCAAAATGTGTCGCAAAGCGGCTTTCCCCACGACCAGAAACGCAGAGACGTGAACGGGGCCTCCATATCGACTGAATTTCATGTGTGGGCCCTTGGCGACATTGAGGGCCGCAGTTGAGCCCCCCCCCCTCCCCCCCATATGAAGAAAGTCGTCCAGCACTGCTGCTCTGGCTGCTTCCCCTTCTCTGTCTATTTCTGGAAGATTCGGTTTCGTGTTGTTACTTTGTTGCAAAACATTCATTTTTATAAACAATAGGAATATTTTTTATGATTATTTTTATTATTGATATTTTTTATTGTTTTTATGATTTTATTTTTTATTAATAAAAATAACAATAAAAAATAAACAATAATATTATTTAATATTTGATTGATTATTATTATTATTTATTATTATTATTATTATTATTATTATTTTTTTTATTGTTTTAATGATTATTTTATTTTTTTATGATTTATTTTTATTAATAAAAAATAAATAAAAATAAAAACAATCATAAAAACAATAATATTTATTATTGTTTTTATTATTCTTATTTATTGTTTATTGTTTTTATTATTATTTTTTTTTTATTATTATTTATCATTTTTATTTATTATGTCTTCCAGCCAATGAGCAAGAATATTAATTTTAAAAAAAAAAGGCGACTTGTGGGTCGCTCAAATCCTCGCTCTGCGTTTCGGAGGCGCTTGTATAGCATTTTCTGAAGTTCCCAGAATTCCTTGTTCAACTTTCTTTTTTTTTGTGGGGGGGGGGGGAGGGTTAAAGGTCAAAACCTCCCGAATTCTTTACCAGCATCCATGTAGAGTTTGGGGCCATCATTGACTTTGCAAAGCTGCAAACAGACGTTTGCCAAATGCCACCGGCGAGACCGGGAAGTACCACAAACGCACACTGGTGAAGATCTGCGTCCTGGGCTGTTCGCCGTTACGGAACGGAAGTTGGATTTTCAGCGCGGGTGTGCGTTCTGCATGCCGGAGCCAACGAGCTGTAAAAAACAAAGTTGCACCAATGCCTATAATATCCCCCAAATTTTTGGGGCCCGCCCCCCACATATACGCACATACGAACGTAAACGCACGCACTCATGAAAATGTCGATTGCGATACACCTGTTACGTATCGCCGCCGCGTGCGCCGGATGGAGAGCGATCGTTCGAAGGCTCGGGTCACAGCCATGCATTTCGCGTTTGATCCGTTTCTGCAGTGTTTTGTGGTGCGGTTTTGATGCATTTTTTTGCGTTTTTGATGCATTTTAATCTGCCCAGCAACAGTTGGAAATTAATAAAAAACATAAAACGCAAGTAGTGCATTTTTGATTCATTTTTATGCGTTTTTGACACGTTTTGTGTTTTTTTTTTTTTTTTTTTTTTTTTTAAATTTCGAACTGTTGCTGGGCAGATTAAACCGCAAAATGCATCAAAAACGCATAAAAACGAATAAAAAATGCACTACTTGCTTTCTGATGCGTTTTTGTTTTTTATTAATTTCCAACTGTTGCTGGGCAGATTAAAATGCAAAATGCATCAAAAACGCATACAAATGCATCAAAAATACACTTCATGCTTTTCTGATGTTTTGTATATTTTTTTTTTATTTCCAACTATTGCTGGGCAGATTAAAATGCATCCAAAACGCATAAAAATGCATAAAAAACGCATAAAATGTATCAAAAACGCACTTGCTTTTCTGCAGCATCTCCATTGAAGTCTATTAGAACCAGAAACGCAACTTTTTGCATTTTAAAAAAAAAAAACCCCGACCCTTTCCAAAAAACGCACCGGGGTGAAAACGCGACGATGTAAACAAGTCCCATAGGAAATAATGTGAAATGGACTGTTGTGCGTTTCGGTGAAACGCAATGGAAAACGCATCGCCTATAGAAAATATCGGGTTCTGAAGTCTGCCGCCATTTCAATGTGTCAGAAACGCACTATTTTCTTGCTGATGCGTTTTGTATTTTTTTAAATTAATTTCCAACTGTTGCTGGGCAGATTAAACCGCAAAATGCATTAAAAAAAAGCATAAAAATGCATCAAAAGTGCACTACATGCTTTTTTAATGTGTTTTTTTTTTTTTTTTTTTTTTTTTTTTTTTTTTTTTTTTTAAATTTCCAACTGTTAAAATGCAACATGCATCAAAAACGCGTAAAAATGCATATAAAACGCACTACTTACTTTTCTGATGTGTTTGTATTTTTTTTTTTTTATTTTCCAACTGTTGCTGGGCAGAATAAAATGCAAAATGCATCAAAAACGCGTAAAAATGCATCAAAAACGTATAAAAATGCATAAAAAAAATGCTTAAAAAAGCACTGCTTGCTTTTTCTGATGCGTTTTTGTATTTTTTTTTTTATTTCCAACTGTTGCTGGGCAGAATAAAATTCAAAATGCATCAAAAACGTATAAAAATGCATCAAAAAACGTATAAAAAAATGCATCAAAAATTCACTTCATGCTTTTATGATGCGGTTTTTGTTTTTTTTTTTTTTTTTTTTAAATTTCCAACTGTTGCTGGGCAGGTTATACATTTTTATGCTTTTTTTTTTATGATTTTTTGCGGTTTAAACGCACTACATGCTTTTCTGCAGCGTCTCCATTGACGCCTATGGAACCAGAAACGCAACATTTTAAGTTTTAAAAAAAAAAGTCCCTGACATCTTCCAAAAAACGCACCAGGGTGAAAATGCGGCGATGCGAACGTGTCCCACGGGAAATCATGCTAAATGGACTGTTGTGCGTTTCTACGAAAAAAACAAAGTTGTAAACGACTCCAGCGGTGAAAGAGTGAAAGCTTGCAGCTCCTCAATCAGAAAAAGTAAACGATCGTCTGCGGGTGCGTTTCGGCTCCAACAGCGGCTCCTGTAAAAAAAAAAAAAAAAAAAAAGCTGCATTGCCTAATAACTAACATTTCATTGGATGAAAAATAAAGATTTAGCCAAAAATGCACCAAAAACCCCCAAACAATACCAAAGGCGCTGAGATCGATCAAACAATTATTAGGTGACTGACTGATAGGGCGCCAATGTTGTTCGATGGTTTCATTTGTTTCCAAAGTGTGAAACACAACCGCAGGCGTCATTGCTATCGACGACCAATCGTCCCAATTGGGATCGCTCGTGTCTAATGGCGGCCGTACATGTAACGATCTGGCCTGAACAAGTCTATACAAGTCCCCCCCACCCTCCTCCGCAGCACCAGTAAGGTCCCCCCCACCCTCCTCCGCAGCACCAGTAGGGTCCCCCCCACCCTCCTCCGCAGCACCAGTAGGGTCCCCCCCCCACCCCTCCTCCGCAGCACCAGTAGGGTCCCCCCCCCCACCCTCCTCCGCAGCACCAGTAGGGTCCCCCCCCCCACCCTCCTCCGCAGCACCAGTAGGGT